GACATACTAGAAAATAAAACTTTYAGTGTTTTTTAGATAAAGCACTGCTTTCTTCCCCTCCTCTTCYCCCCCAAATATGTCTATGGGTAGCTTATGGTGACAGTAAATTCCCACTGGGCCAGGCTGTTCCACAGTGACTGTYACTGTGCATCTTGCATCGTGTTCTGAATAAAGTGGGATCAGCCAGAGATAGAAGCAAGGCACCGTGATGCAGTAGATCCGTGACTCTGGATCTATCTAGGTTGATCCTGAGTTTCACAGTTACTACAACTGTTTGGGTGGGAAAGAGAAAATTYATTTGGAAAGTGAGGGAAGCAAAAGGAGAGAAAAGTATGTCTTTTGAGTTGTAAAGAAGAGCATCAAATCAACTGAGATAAATAAATGAAGTGACTAAGAACTCTTTCCAGCCTAGCTGTTGATAGGAGATCAGTTGAGTAAGGGATTTTTTAGGTAAAAGAGGTGGAGCTGAAGCAATTACTRGCTAATTATATATGGGAGAACTGCCAGTGAATTAGGTTGTGTGAACGAAAAAAAAGGCAAAAACACAAGAGGAAAGATTTGGGCAGGATAAGGACAGAATATAAGTAGAGAGCACACACTTGATCCAGAGAAAGCAGCAAACTACTTGAAAAGCATCAGAATATATGTGCGTGTAGCAGAAGAAGGCTGCAGAAGCTGATGAAAGAAGCAATATGGAAGAAAAAAAAAAAAAAAGGTAATCTAGGTCAATGCACCAAACATTATTGTCAACTGTGAGTTTACCTTAAAATTAAAGCTCTTAGCCGGGAGAGGCCAAGACACTCCTGGCTTTTTCATTTTGAAGCTGAGCAGGCTGTGGGGTGGAAGCTCAGAGCTGCCATCAGCCACCTAAAGGGCAGGATGTGAAGAAAGTGTAGGCACTGGGTGGCAGAACAGGAGATAACAGACACAGGTTGTAATAACCTCTTACTACATCTTACTAAACTCTTCTACTTAGGAAGAAGTGATTTCACCATGRGTGTTGTCAAATATTGGAGCAGTTGCCCAGGGACACTGTGTAATCTTCATCTTCARGAATAATGAAAACTAGACCAGAACAGGCCTTAAGTGACCTAACCCAATTTGGTCCTGCTTTGAGCATGGGGTTGGAGCAGATGACTTTCACAAGTCCCTGCAACGTAAATTATCCTGTGGTTTTAAAGGAAGCATCTTTTAAGTGATTAAAATTTAAGAAGAGCTTATTGTGCTTTTTCTTTGCTAGTAGTATGTGCATATTTTTAGCAGACTATTGAATCTTTTACTTTAATATAAATCTTAACAGTCTCTTAGSCTCACACACTGAAAAAGGTTTATCCAGGCTGGTGAGAAAGAGTATATTTTAATAATACAAAAATAATCATGGAATATTCTTCCCAAATGAGACCTCCAACAGCTGTGTGTGCAGTTGCCTACTCCTACAGTTATCAGTAATACAGATGTGATTCTTTCTGCAATCAAAAGGGACTGCATACAGCCAAAGGACATGGGCAATTTTATGGAATCCTTAGAGCTACTACAGATGACAGGCAGACCTCTTGCTTGCTTAATACTCTTAGAAATGTCCAGGGAAAGAAGAGAGGAGAAGCAGCCATGTGGATGGCTAATCTTGATAAAACACCCAAATGCCCACCCAGATACTCTCTCACTCTCCCTCCTCAGCAAGACATAGGGAGAAAACTGGATGAGAAAGCTYGTGRGCAGAGGTAAAGAAGTTATAAAGACAGGGAGCTTGTTTACCAGTTACTATYACAGGCAAAACAGACTTGGCTTGGGGAAATTTAATTTATTGCTGATTAACATAGATTTGGATAATGAGAAAACAAAAACAAACATTAAACCAACACCTTTCCTCCTCCCTCTCCCAAGTTTGGCTTAACTCTTTCCATTCCAAATTTGTTCCCTCCTCCACTTTCTGGCTGGTGTTTTGTGCCCCTGGTTGAATATGTTTGYACAGAGATGCCACACACATGGCTGATCAGCTCTGCTCTGTCCTGAACTCTGTTCTCCTTTATTTGGAAGTCAGCTTAGCAGTTTATCAGGCAGTCATTTCTCTTCTCTTTTTTTTTGTCTACACTGTCATTTTTGAAGTACTTTTTAAAATGTCCCAGTCATAAATTCTAAATATTATTTTCAAAAGCACCTGGTACATTAAATCTTATATGACTTTTGCAAAGCAAGGCACCCACCCTTTGTGTATACATCTACAGAAAGAAAAGGAGCTAAGGTCCCAGCMCTCTTTTTTCCTCTGAAAACTGCCMTTCTCCTTTYTGACCRTTCATCATGAGATAAAGTCAAAAGAGAATCCCATGCAGACTGYATCCCAGGTCACCTAAAGGGCTTAATAAAGGTTGTTGTTCCACTCTTCTATTCAGCTGGAGAAATTTGCCATATAGTAACACAGAGCAGGCATTCTTATAAAAGTAAGGAAAGAAAGTACCTKAACTCATGATAGGGGGCAGGGTGAAAAAAAGGGCTTTCTAGSTATCTGCTCAGAATGGCTCTTGGCAGATTCGTTGTTCTAAATAAAGAGATAACAGCTGGTCCAGGAAGGACTCCACAGGCTTGCATATGGTGAGGGGGAAGGCAATGCCCACACACTCTTCTACTAAAGTGTAAGAAGGAAACTTGCTTCTTCTTATCCTTGGTTGATTCTTGAGTCGTATTAAGAACACCTCTCTGCATTATCACCAATAGGAATCTGMCCTTGGGCTATTGCTTTTGTTCTGTGTTTCATCTAGAGCACTGTGGCAGCTCCATATCATGGTGCACTTCTGTTCTTAGGAAGGGAGAACATGTCCATGGAGGAGAAGGGCTGGAGAGGCCTCCACACAAAGAAACACCAAGTAAGRGGACAAATTACACGAGCTCCATTCAGACAGGACAACAACTTGTTGTTGGCAGGAGAAGAGACCAGGAAGGATGATCAAGCYAAGGAGTTTACAAGGAACATGAGGAGAAAAAATACCCTCTAACATCATGATTAATAGCTGGTTGTCATTGGCTGCTCTAGGCTGCTTATGGAATCTCAGGAAGGAAATGATGGGAAGTGAGTTTTGTGGCTTGATAGACTGTCATTATTTCAGTTATTCCTTATRATACTGACCATTTTCATCTATCCCCAGCTTCTATGACAATGAGGCTGCACGGAAGTATCAGCTTTCACTGAATACTACAAAATATGGAWGACAGACTTCTAAAAAAAATTCTTATTTTTATTTAACAAGCCTAATTTCTTTTTTTTTTTCCTTGACTCTAAGATTACTATCTGATATCAAATTATTGACAGGCAGTTTATTTAGACTGTGAACTAGTCATTTTAATGATACAGCCAACAAATTTAGTGCCACGCAGAGCTGCTCTACATCAGAGGTGACTGTCTCTAGAGCAGCACTAAAAGAATGTAGTTACATTTCTCTCAGAAGGAGCAGGATAAAAAGGCACACAGAATTTAATTATTCGCAAAGTTTAAACAAATGAAAAGCACTTACCAATTTTAATTGCTTTATAAGTCTCCAGCACAATGACCTGTATTTTAATAAAGCTATTTTTTATGACCCAAATCACTTCATGAAGCAGGAATTTAAAGTAACATATTGACAGCGATTTGTTGCATTTGCACTTGGTGTTAACCTTGGGGCTCAGTGTCCAAGTTGAACTCTTTTTTTGAATGAATTTAACTTTAAAATTTTGTCTGATGTCAAAACTGGGCTCCACATTACATTTATTTTTAGAGTACTAAGTGTAGGGCAGCAACATTTTACACTGCTGAGAGATTTTGAGTAGATGCATGTTAAAACAAAGGAAGCACCAGAAGAACATAGTACACTTAATTACATGACCAACATAAGCAATTTGCTGTAATGGAGTGTCCTGAGCTTGAGATAGGAACACAGTCATGACATTAGACCGGGTGTTCAGGCTTGGCCAGATTTTAGCCCAACACCACTTCTGGGTGATATGTTATGTATTCTGCTTCCTCCTATGAATATTTCACAGAAATGCCATGGGCCCCGGGGCAGAGAGTACATTACTGGTAATGATGATACCATTATGACTGCTTATTCTGGTCAGGACAGGCTCACAGAGCCCGGCCACCTTTTCTCTGTCCCATGACCAGGCTGCTACCACTTCACCCTTGTGTGTTTTATTATTATGCACCAGCAAGAGGGCCAGAAAAAACAAGGACAGTAGAGTGTGTTAGTGATGGGCTCAGCTGTCCTCCATGTGGCATCTTCTAACAATGTTGCCTCTTGGTAAAGAAGGGGAGTTACAGGAGATGTGACTAGTGACAGCTCCTGCTGGTTCTGTATGAGTAGCCTGAGAGGCTGTCTCTGGTGGCAGATGGAACCAAGGCCTGGGGGGAGTTTCCAACCATGTCCTCAGCAGCTAGTGGTGGTGTCCTGGTTTCAGCCAGGACAAAGTTAATTTTTTGCATTGACTGAGAGTGTCTGTGGGGTGTAACCAGGACCAGATGTTACTCTACACCACGTCTTATCATTGCCAGGGGTGGGGGGAAGGCACTCATGCCTCTGAGGAAAAGAGCATTCCTTTTTGTCAGGAGAAAACGTGGCAGGAAAGAGTTGATCAGTATTCGCTTATTATCACGGACTTCCTTTTAAATCTTTTGTCTTACACTTTTTGTTATTAATATTGTTTGCTGTTACTGTTCATTTTATTATCTCATTGATGTTTCCAGTAAGCTGTTCTTGTCTTAACCAAAGATCTTTGCCTTTTGTGCTTCCAGTCGGAGGGGGAACAAGCAGCAGCGTGGTTTTAGCGGGAGAACCAAATTGGAGAATACTATTCCTAAACTATGACAAGGGGAGATAAATGTGTCAGATGAGGCTGCTATAAAGTGATTTCTGCGAGAAATTATTTACTCTCCCATATTTGTGAAATTTTGGCTAGTGACAAATATTGCTGATGCAGAGAACCAACAGAAAAATGGCCGCCTAAGTGGGAGGGGAAAGAAGTTCTCTCACCTTGGCAGGCTCGTTCATCATCCACAGGCTGGTAGCCAGCCTTGCAGGTGCAGCGTCCAATGGCCACCATCCAYTCCCCTTCTCCATTGCAGTGCAGCCGGACACTGGAGGACCCTGTGGTGCTTGTCTCTTCAGCATTGGGTACACACGTCCCTGGGGACTCCACCAGTGAGGTCCTCTCCCCACCAGCAAATGTTTCAGGAAAGGAGGCAAATCCTTTCACCACAGCTGGGCACTTGTAGAAAAAGACTTGGACTGCTACCAAGGACATGCAGGCTCCCGAATCCTGGAAGGCCAGGTAGAAGCCATGCTTGGTGAGTGGCCCAAAGCTCCGTACTTTGACATTCATCTTGACCACCTTCCCAGTGCTGTCCACCTGGGAAAAGCTCTCATCAGCCGCAATAGTATCCACTTTGGTCCAGGGGCCCTCACGCCACTCTGGCATGTCCTGAGAGGCTATGTCAGTCTCCGACTGGTGGTAGTAGAGAGTGAAAGTCTCCTTGCAGGACGAGGCCACGGTGCGCATGCTGGCACAGTCCCTGACTGAGAAACGGAGGCGGACGTGCACCCGGTGGGCTCCGCGCCGCTCGATGAAGTGAGTGCGCAGCCAGTTGTTCTGACCTGGTTCAGCCACGTTGCACACTTGAAAGGTTCGGATCAGGCGCTTCTTGTCATCCAGGACACTTACCTCATCCCACTGCAATGGATATAGGGGAGAAAAAAGGAAAAAGAAACAGTAAGAAGGAYTCAGTGTTCAACTGCACCAAAAATTCAGGACAGGTCTTTGTCTTCTTCCCCTTCCTTCTCCTTCCCATGACTATGACAATACTTGAATCTGCTGCTGTCACATGCAGCACAGTATTCTAGACAGGACAAAGTATAAACTCTGTAAAGAAGAGCAGKCAAAGCTTTGAAGTAAGAACTGTTGTGACAGAAAACATAAATCATGCAAACTTTTCACCTGACACTGAGAATCTTAAAATGAGAGTCACACTTTCTTCCCTTCTATTTCCCTATCTCTTATCTCCAGAGACAAAACACAAACGGCACAGACATATGAGGAAGAGCAACAAGACACTGTTCTCTGGAAAATGCATTAAAGCAGAAGTCCCTTCTACCATCTTTACCACAGTGGGAGCTGTGCTCTGGCACCTTCTATCCACATAAGCCACTCGGCATAGCCACATAGGGGCAGATCCAGATCTGGTTTGTGCCTGGAGGAAGGCACAAGGGAGGGATAAAGAGRTGTRGAGGCAGGTTCCTGTACAAAGCTRTGAGAGCAATCCCTCCTTAACCTCYCCATGAGCTTTACAGAACAGGTACAAGGCCCTGGCTGTGACAGAGGATGTGCACAGTGAGACAGAAGAGAATGAGCCTGCTCAAGCATTCTCACGAAGGTCTGATCAAATAACTCCTCACAACAAGACCTGCATTAAGACCATTTGCCAAGAAGAAACAACAACAAGTTATGGTTGTTAGTGACTTTTAACTGAGTGAAACAGAAGCACCCATCTGCACACCAGAACATCTTTTTAGKCAAGTGCTGCTTCCCTGGGGCCCAGTTTAGGGATACCACCAGATGATGGAAGAGCTTAATGCAGCTTTCAGACTATTATCCACACCTGCATTTTCACATGGGTACAAATAATGTCCCAACAAAAAGCRCAAAGTTGATGAAGAGAGTTTTCAGGGCCCTGGGAAGAATGTTAAAAAATTCAGGTGSATGGTGGTGTTTTTCTCAATCCTTCCAGTATAGGTGACATATTATCGAAAAAACAAATGATGCCAAGATACCAATACCTGGCTTCAGGATTGGTGCCTCTGCCAAAATGCTTGGTTTGGTACGCACTGAAGAATCTTTGCCACACCAGGTATGCTGGGACCTGACAGGATCCGGTGTCCTGATGGGAGAAATGTATTTTTGCTCATAAACTAGAGGGACTGGTTGACAGATTTAATCTGGAATTGTGGAGGAAGGGCATACCACCGGGAGAGCTGAAGGCAGAGCACGGGTTGGCATGGCACAGCCTGAGGATGGCAGTGCTAGTTGGGATCATGTGGGCTGCTCCTGGGAGCATGGAGGCTCAGAAGCACAACTGCAATGTCTGTACAGCATGGGAGCATTCATGGCACAGAACTTAACAAGAACAAATTCCAGATCCTGCATCTGGGATGGAGTAACTGCAGGCACAAGAATAAACTCAGAGAGAAGTGTCTGGAGAGTGCCCTGCTGGGAGGGCCCTGGGGGTGCTGTGGGCAGCAGCTCCATCAGAGTCAGCAGGGAGTGCCCGGGCAGCCCAGGGGACAAAAATCCCGTCCTGGGGGGCATCAAACACAGCAGCACAGCCGGACAGAAGGGGGATCACCCCACTGTGCTCAGCCTTGGTGTGACCTCACCCAGAGTGCCTGGGAGCAGTTCTGGGCCCCACCATTTCAGAGGGGTGTGAAAGTCCTGGAATGTGAGCAGAGGAGGGCAACAAAGCTGGTGGAAGGGCTGGCAGCTGTGTCCTGTGAGGAGTGGCTGAAAGCTCTGCGTTTGTCCATTTTGGAAAAAAGGGAGGCTGAGGGGTGACCGCCTTGCTCTCTGCAGTTCCCTGAGGAGGGAAAGGAGAGAGAGAGGGACTGATCCCTTCTCCCTGGGATACAATGATAGSATTCATGGGAATGATTCAAAGTTGCCTCAGGGGAGGCTCAAAATTGACATCAGGAAACATTTCTTTATGTAGAGGGTGGTCAGACACTGRAATAGGCTTTTGAGAGAGGTGGTCAATACCTCAAGCCTGTCAGTGCTTAAGAGGCATTTGACAGTACCCTCTATAACACGTTTTAACTTTTGGTCAGCCCTTAAGTGGTCAGGCAGCTGGACTGAGTGACTGTTGTAAGTCCCTTCCAACTGAAATACTCCTATTCTATTCTATTCTATTCTATTCTATTCTATTCTATTCTATTCTGTTCTGTTCTGTTCTGTTCTGTTCTGTTCTGTTCTGTTCTGTTCCGTTCCGTTCCGTTCCGTTCCGTTCTATCCTATCCTATCCTATCCTATCCTATCCTATCCTATCCTATCCTATCCTATCCTATCCTATCCTATCCTATCCTATCCTATCCTGTATGGAGGGATGGCTGGAGAACTCTTCAGTATTTCTGCAGCAGAGTGGAAGGAATAGGGTAAGGAGGTGGGAATAGCATCCCACTCAGCATGCTCCTCTCTTAACAAGCTGGCTTTGCACAACACACTGTGTTCAAATTGTTCATATGCACAAAATCCATAAACCAAGTCTCACTGCTTCCAGTCTCCTTTTCTTCATCAGATGCATGCACATCTTCCCATCAGAGGGACAGTCAAGAGGACAAGGGAAATGCTTACCCCATCAGAAGGGTGTGTGGTCCAGCCGATCTCTGAGGTCTCTTGAGTAGTATCCAGAAGTATTTCTGTTTGTATTTAAAAGAATTAAATAAAAAATGTATTTTGTGCTATTCCAAGTCAGACTAAAATCTTAGCTGTTCCTCACGAGATTGTCTTGTAGAGGGTTTCTATACACCAAAAATAAACATTCATGTTTTGGGATTAAATATGACAGGCTATGTCCATACCAGTAAATTAAGAAGGGCCACGACAAGGGCAGAGGCACTGCGCACATGATCATGTTAACCCATGATAATCARATTGCTTGGCAATATTCTGACCACAGCTTCCCAGGAAAAGTGCAAACACACTGACAGCATGGGGCAGARTTATCATAATGAGCAGTACAGATGAGGCCACTCTCTTTTTGGAAAAGAAAAAGTGGGACACAAGATGAGTTACTTGAATGCATGCCAGTCTCCTTAGGGCTACATCTGCSCATTTTACTTGCAGATGTAAATGTGGACATGAGGCCAAGACATGTTTGTTTCCAGTTCTGGAACCAAATTTCTTTGGGAGTTTGGGACTATGACCCAGCTGATCCTTTAATGGATTCACTTTGTTCTGGAGACACTGCCAGTCTGTGTAGGAACCCCAGTTTTGTTCGAAAATTAGTATTAAATGGTCTGTTGCATTACACTGCTCAGGATCAGGGTACCTGCAGAACTTCACAGGCCCAGTTTATTCCCACAACTGGTCTGCATTTCCACTGTTACTGAATCCATCACTGGTACCAGCCTTGACTGCTCTTGGACACATTATTCTCTGCTTGGGTACAGAGACATACAGAAGAGATTGTGACAGTGCAAACTATAAACATAGTATTGTCCAAAAGAGGATGTCAGGGTCTGAGACCATCATGGAAGTTACTGGTAYGCAAGCATGTGCTCTTTACTCTGCGCATTTAGGACACAGAATAAGAAAACAAATCAGTTGAATAGGTTTTCACATGTGTTGATAACATACTATATAAATAACTGCCTTTTTTAAATTCTGGAAAGCTTTATTTTRTTATTTTAATTTTCATATTTCTATCTTGTTGCTTTTAAAAAAAAACACCACCTCAAAAACCAGATTAAAAAAACCAACCCCAAACACAACAGCCAGTTTACTTACAAATAGGATTCATTATTCCTATTTCCCTTGTAAAGGTTAAATAATATGATTGTTCCATGTTTTATGCTGAAGGGAGATATGGTTTTTATCTCCAATTTATGGATTGCTGATGTCACTATTCCTGCCAAAACACCTGGGGATTCAGTCCACATTAATATGGGAAAGATTAGGCAGACATGATCAAGTGAGCAAGTTTATCCAGACCTCAGCCTTCACTGATGTCATACAGCCTTYACTGAACCATATTCCCTGTATTCCTACAGGAGACTTTACACGTTTTAGACCTCCCTGAAGGGCTGATGCAGCTCCTTGATTCAAAAGCAGTGTGAAATCCCTGGGCTGGCTTGCCAAAACTGGAAAGAGCTCCTGGTCACAGCTAAAGCATAACCCCACTAAAATCATGTAACAGGCCTCAAGAAATACTGAGCAGCTCAGCTCTCGAGGACAGCTCAGTTCCAATAGCCCCTCCGAGCAGCAGAACATCTGCAAAAGGCCTTTGCCTCCCTGAGGACAGCTCTCTAGGCTGTCCTGGCAGCAGAGGAATTTGGCACTGCCCCATACCCATTACCTTCTCAATTGCAGTCTGGCACAGGGATCACACTGTGTCATGTCATTACTTTGCCACTGGGTTCCCAGACATGGCCCTGATATGCTGAAATAATACACAAGGCCGTTTTTCAACACAGAAAGAACTTTTTTTCTTATCAGGTCTGAGTCTACCATTTACCAAAGTATAAAGCATCTACCTGCACAGAAACTCTAGAAGAAAGTAAAATAGAGAAAAGTTAATCAGGGCATRGAAAGCCATATAGAAAGTGAGAAAGGAATGGAAAAGAAAGAAAATAGACAAGACTTGCTCAGCAGCCCGAGCTCTGCCATGTCAAGCACATTCTCCAGACAGGTTCTCACCACTGAGCAAAGTAATATTTACCAAGCACTTGAGTATTTCACAAGCAAACAGAAACAGGCAGCCTGAAGCAGACAGAACTGTCCYAATATTCACAGTGAATATTTTAAGCCAGAAACCATAAGAAAAATAAGAAAAGCASACAAGAATTTTGTGTGCATAAATCTCATTTCGCAACCTACAGTCCTAAAGTCCCTCACTATTTTTCTTCTTTCTCCCTCTCCTACTGRCTGTATGCCTTGAATCACATCCCCAGTCACACTAGCTGCATGAACACTCATAAATCTAACAAGCTGTGAGGACAACAGGCTTGGTTCATGTTCCCATAGCTAAAAACTCCAACCCCACAGAAGTACAGGGCTGCATCCAAACCACCCCTCAGGAACGATCCTGGGTCCATCCTGACCTCTGACCTATGTATGGCCACTGTTTGTGACACGAGTAGCTGGCATGGGCCAAAGCAACCCATGGCTGTGCTGATAATTGAACAGCACGGGGGCTACACATGCACAGGTAGAAGCCTTCACTCTTATGAGCACGTTACTGGCACTGATSACTGGTGTAGCCTCCCCACATCCTCACTGTGCTGGGCCAGACCAGCATTCTGCTGCCCTTCACTCTAGACAGAAATTATCTGTTCAGCTGGATTTACCACCTGGGGAGAGAAATGGCTTGCACCCTTTCAACCTCACTGAAAATCAAGGGTCTTGCAAGATCAGTGCAGACCCTGGCTCAGTCCAGCCCATGATGCTGCTAAAGGCAACACTGGTTGAGGCATCTCAGAGTATCAATGGAGCAATATTCCACTCTGCATTAAAAATGAGGAATAGGCAAGATATSTGAGCAACCTAGGGGCTTTCAAACACATGAAATGATGACAATTCCTCTTTGACTCCTAGTTTAATCTCACTTTTGAAGAACGATATTCCAATTTCATATTACAAGTGGTATTTTAGTTCAAGGAAGATAAAAATAACCTAKGATATATTCTTCTGTATTTCTCTTCCTTAAACTAAAAAGAAAAAAACATCCTTTTTTATGGAAGAGTCATATGGGTTCATTACACATTGCAAAATCTAAACTCTCATTTCAGTACCCTCAGTTCTGGTAGGTCAGAAAGGGTGAAATAAATATCCCAAATACTTAAGCTAATGCTATTCTATRTTTACATCACAAACCAATCTCTTGGGCTACATTACACTATCAACATCCACTGTCAACATCCACATAAAGTAGGCAGAGGCTGGAGGTTGCTGTTACAGATACAGGTTCAGAATAGGCATGTTAATGATTTTCAGGTTTTGGTCTGCCTATACTTTCAATCAAGACTATTTAGCACCTGTGTTACAGACTAAATGTTYCCTTGATGCAAGAGGATGACAATTYACCCAAGGATGAGTGAWCCTTAGWCAACCTTCATGGAGGCAGAGATGGCCTAACTGCTTTCTGGATTGAAGAACATTTGTCCTCAGYGTCTTAACAKWGAAGTCATGCGAGAGGGAATTCTACAACTAAAGTCTTGCAAACTGGAGCCATGAACAAGAGAGGTGATCCTAAGAAGAGAGCAAAAGAATCCCTTTACCCGTGTGATGACAATCTAGAGCTAAGACTGTAGAATCACAGAATGAAACAAGCTGGAAGGGAGGTACAGAGGTCATCTTGATCAACACCCTGCTCWAGGCCAGGCTACATTACAGTAGGTTGCTCAAAACCTTGTCCAGTTGAATCCTAAATATACCCAAATGTGTACTGGTGGAAAGCAAAGGGCACTATGATAAAAGGGAACATTCCAAGAGTTTGCTTTGCTATGGARCTGAATGCCCCAAGCTGCAAAACTTGCTCGCTTAACAGACTTCTTGAAAAGAACTGGAGCATTACTGAGCTTACTCTGCCTTCTACGATCATGCCTTGAACAAGTAGGAAGAGTGTGAACGCTYTCTAAGAAGGCTGGGAAGAGAAGGCATTCCCTGGGCTTGTGCAAAAATAGAGGTTGTTAGAGGTTGTCAAATCCAGTAACCTCACATAAACTCCATAAACCTCGCACAGGCTGCTGYGGCTCCGTGGCCCCAGGTACAACCAACAGCAGGGATCAGGGAGTATTCCCAACAGGCAAACTCAACAACACATGCAGACAGTGCACATCTGTGAGTGGCCAGCCACAAAGGACAAAAGCACTCACCAGTTATGCAAACAGAAACAGCACCACCAACAGCCTCATCTTGCTCTCCTTTATGGCTGGCCAGGATGAAGGTCTGTTAGTGGGCAATACWTATGCATTTATATACAGTGTAGACCCCTGCAATAACTGTCCTTAAAGATTTCGCCTCCTGACCTTGGGATCTGTGTCCTCTCCATCTGCTGGCACCCAAAGCTCACAGCCCCGCTACTGTCGAGAGCAGTCAGCCAGCCTCACTSACTGAAACATCCCTTCACACACACAGGGCATGCTGTGGATCCTGTACTAACTGGCTTCAAGGATACAGCCCACCCGGGATGCTTGTTCTCCGGCATTGCTATCCTATGGATCTCTCCATTAGTGGTCTTAGGCACTCAGCCTACCCAGGAGTTGACCCTGGGATCATCTTGTCTCTTGTTGCACTGAGATACACAACATATGGCCAGGACTTTCAAACAGCTCCCAGAATTTATGGTGACCAGAATAGATGAGCTGGACTTCCTGATAGCTGACCTTCCCCCACGAAATAAACCCCTCCATTTGTGTCACTCACAGACACACACACACACACACACACACACACACACACACACACCCCAAACTGCTGTCTCATTCCTCCTCCAGACTCTGGTCCTTCCTTGGCTTCCCAGCCCACTAACTCTACCATCAGGTTGGTCTGGCTTGATACAGAGATTACAGACTCACTAATATACGCTCATTCACTGCAGTGGCTTGCATCACAGATGCACAGATCCTATGACTTACGGTCCACCCTGAATTCCTAGCCCTAGGTTTCCATCCATTCCATGATCTCCAGCTGCTGGGAG